TCTTCAATTCAGAACTTACATCTTTGAGCCTGTCTTCAGTTTTTTGAGCTTTCAGTGCCAAGTTCCTTGCTACTGATTTATTCCTGGAGCTACATTGTAATAAGTGTGATCTATTTTTCATACACTTTTTTTTACCGGAGACCTCTTTTTCGCCAAGAATAACTGCGCAGTAATCTTTCCTCCTTGAGAACACTTCACTCGAAGACTTGATTCTCCTACTGCACCTTATTTTGCAGGCCCTCGACTTACAACCTGCGCACGAATTAACCCCTGGCACTGATTTCGAGAATAATTTTGAGCTGTTTCTTGATTTGCAGCCGTTAAGAGTGCAGTGAGAATTTTCAGATGACTTGCAAGTTCTTAAATGAGGACCTGTTCTCTTACACTTAGAATTTTTGCGAACACGACATTTGAAACACTGCCTCCTGATGCATGCATCTCTAGTTTTTTTCAGGAGGCCCTGCTCTTTTGATAAAGATCTACATTTGCTTTCAAGATTTTTCTGGAGACATTTAATACTCCTAGGATTAACTAACCCGCAGACTTGACTTTGGCTTGTTCTCATGTTATCCTCAGAGCTTGACCTACGGGTTCTGCATTTCGTCGATGGTGCTTCCCGGTCTTGCCCAGCACGTTTAGACTTGTATGATTTCGTTGATTCCGTGCAGTCTAACTGCATGGTCTTGGAAGCTTTTGAAGCTTTCTTGCAGAGTGATTCAAGTAGTTCTGGGTGGAGCTCAGAACAGAGTAACAGACTAAGTGCTGGACTGAGAGGCAAACACGGTAATGAAGAGCACCGTGCATTGTCTGATCGTCTGACTGATTCTGACTGGATAATTTTGGTGGGCTTTGACGGTTCAATCATGTCTCGATCGGGGTTTGAGCCATCAGATATAAGTTTTGCAGATTGGCCATTACAAAAGGAATTTTCGGGGCTGGTTGAAACTTGAATCCCTACAGAGGCCTTTCGTTTAACTTCACATGCTGTGAATGAACATGGAGAGCATCCACCCCTCTTGGAAGCGATTGCCAACCTATCCATCTCTATAAATTTTGACTCAGCATCACAACACAGCTTATTGCACTTATTTTTACACTCCTCTAATTTGGGAACTGGATCGCAATTCAGAAGTTCGTCTGTGGCTTTTTCAGTGTTTGTAAAAACCTTGTTCTGGTCGCACATCAGAAGGGTTGAGTTGGGATTTATTTCATTAGCTAGTTTAGTCGTGGATGATTTCGATTGTTTTCCGGTTACGCATTCTCGATTGCAGCGCAATAAAAGAGCGCTGCGATCTTCTACTTTCGTTTTACGACAGAAATTTGATGTAGAAGTTACTTTACATGCATCTGACTTGCCACCTATCTTCCTTTCGCGGTGAGCTTTTTGCACTTGAAATGCGAAGTCACATTCTCCATCAGAGCATGCGCCTGTTGACTTTTTTCGATTTTTTCTTTTTTCCTCCCTGATTTTTGATATATATTGCCGAAAATCTTCACTAACTTGATAGCATTTCTCACAAGAGTCATCTGCGGTCGAACGAGGAGAACAGCAACTGGCACCTAACCTCGATCGATTTGCCTCTTCCGGAGACCTCTTTGATTTCAGTTTCGTGCTGCTGACTTTAGATGGTTCAGTGAAGCATGAATCAAATACTTTTTCTTCTTTGGATGGAGGAATTTGTTTCAACCGCAACTGAGAAGAAATTTTACAATTTAATCCATCATCTATCTCATTTTCAATGCAGGGTTTTCTTGAGTTTTTTACTCTCGCCGGAGAACAAAATCTAAAGTCAATTGGAAAATCTTGGTGAGGATGTGGAGGACACTTAACCTGATATGCGTCGACTTCAATTCCCTTTTCACCCCTCATTTCAGCGAGGTTTCGTCCATTTTTTAAGGTGCTCTTACATTCGATGCTGGCACTGCTAAGCATGCCTCTGGGTAATTGGTTGCCGTTGACTTTGGAGGAAATTGTTGGCTTGAAGGAATTAAGTCTCCGTAGGTAAAAAAGTAGCTGTTCAATGGCACGAATACTTGATTTTAATTCTTTTATTATTCGTTCATTCCTAACTGGTGCAGGATATGAACAGTTGGGAACTTGACATTTCCCGGATGATCCTTTAATGAATTCCAGTTGAAGACTGCGGTTTAAATTACAGATTAAATATGTTAAGGACTTTAAATCAAAATAAGTAAATTCGTCTGGAAAGTTATCAGCTTTTAAAGTCAAGCATCTAATTCCTTCCTGTGGTCCGGAGAGACCGATGACGCGTGAGAAAAGGCCGAAAGGCAGGCAACCGCATCCTCTGTCTGAATTAGCATCATCCTGTGTACTACGACGGCGAGATCTGGCTAAACGTGGGAATGGTTTGATAGTACACTCGCCGGTTACCGGGTCTGGAAAATCCTCTTTGAGGTAATTGAGAGCCTGGCTACACGATTTTGTTCCTCTGAAAGGTAGCAAAGGATTTCCACCGGTGATGAAATACAGCTGCAAAATAAGTCTGGTAATGGCATAACTAAGCATGTGCAATTGCTCTGTTTTGATCTTGTACTTACATTCGTCGACTGACCCTTTTGTACGTTTATGTACTTCAATCTCAGCATGTATGACTCGCAATATATCCCAATAGAAGTGTAAATCTGTAAATGGAAATCTAGCTAAAACGTGTTGCAGTTCAACTAAGAAACTATCACAAATTTTAGGCTCAGCAATCTTATCTAATATGCAATATTTTAGAGCCGCTTTTTCTTTCTTGGCTCTAATGGGCTCTGAATGCCACCAGCATGGTTTTCGGTAATCATATTTACTGGTTTCTGAGAAAGATTTCATCGTTGTTTGCTTTCTTTCTCCCTCATAATAACAGCCTGGTACACAGCAATTTGGCCGCGACTTGGAAGTGAGGGCTTCAGAATTGTCAAAAAACGATGCAGGGTGAATGCTTAGGTTTTTGAACATATTGTTCCAGAGTTTTGTTACACATCCTTTCAAATTGATGTTGACAACCCGATACGCTGGGTCATTTCCATTCAGTTCAAGTATCTTTACATCAGGGCAACAGACAAAGCTCTCAACTCTGGTAAGATTTTCACGACCACTCACAAGATTTTCCCTCTGCTTGCCATTGTAAACATGTTCATGTGAGAACTGAGGACATACTCCCCCGCAGTCATTCTGCTTCATTCTTTTTGTAACTCTTTAGCAGTAAATCAAAAATTAAGCTTCTGCATTGCGTGGCTTCCAAATGAGGGGAAATGCTTGCATAGACAAGTATAAGTAAATGCTCTTGTATGACCGACAAATATTTTAAAGCAAAACAATTTCACCGACAGAATATGCAACTTCTTGTTCCAAGATCATGATTAGCACAGCACTTTGTCTCATTGTAAGTAACACAGAATTTGCAGGACATTCGTTCAATGAAAATGCAAAACTTGGAAGACATAGGTACCTAACATTCAAATAGATCAATTACTAGAGAGAAATATACCATGAATTTTGAAGATAGGTACTGATTAGGAAGAAGGTGGGGTTAGGATTCATGAGAAGCATAGATCATACAGCAATCATCAGGAAGCATGTTGTTGCAACTCCGACATTGATTTACGGTGTCTTTGAAAATAGATTCGCATTTTAACTTAAATAGGTCACATTTAATTTCATTCCAAGAGAAACAGATACTAAACAACGCACTGATTGGAAACTTTTATTTGCATTTTCTAAATAAAACGATATATTGGGACATGGTTTTACGGTAAAAAAAAAAAAAAATAAATAAAAAAGTAGATTAAAAAAAATAAAAAATAAAAATAAAAAAACAACATCTGACGAGAGTATAATATCAGCTGTTCACCGCACTGAGTTCATTTTTTCAACAATTATTTTTCAGTAACATTTTATCTTCTTTATTTTTCCTATTTCTTTCCAGTTTTTGGTTTGGAGGAAAGAAAAACAAAAAGACATGATCACAGTCAGGTATTACTTGCATATCAAGCATTGTGATTTATCAAAGTTGACGCAGTGCGCGGGGATCTGGTATGTTCCGAGTCCCAAAATTATCCACATTCTCGAACAGACCATGAGTCGCGAGGTTTCGCATTTTTATACTTCGTCATCCTTTTAGAAAATTAGTAAACGACCAAAAATCGAGACATATGAATGTTCTCAGATGACGCTATACGGCATCAACTTAGGAAAATCATAACTTTCGGGGCGTGGGGGCCAGAGAATCAGCGCCGAGAGGCAGCGCATCACCAAATCTATCACTAAATGGATCGGAAATGTGGGGCAAAGAGCATTTCAGTCGTTAGCATGAACACGATTTTTCTCATTCATGTTTAAAGCCTATATCTTCAAGGTCAAAAATTTCAGATTCCGTACTTTTCCGAAGTCTGTCACCTCAGGACAACGAAAATACCCACTTTCGACCTGACATCTCGCATCTGGTTACATGAGCAAAGCTGAGCGGAAATAAAATAGGCCTCTTAATTTCGAAAAAAGATTACCTTTGCATCACTTTTTGACATCCCTGGAAATCACTAATAATTGAAACTTCGAAAATACTGTAGTTACCTAGTTATATAGAATATACCTCTACAAATATATTTCATACTACCCAACTTCCCTCACGTGGTCGTTTAATCGTACAGTCGATTTAAACCGATAAACGAATAACGCTCCAAACCAGATTGAAATAATTGCTGTGAAAGAGGTAACTTGATGGTCTCTTTGCGGGAGATTCAGCCACTCGAATAATGCCACATACATGCTTCCTAAGATAGAAAATATCGTGGATTCCGGATATTATTAGTTTTCCGAAGAAAGTAATTTTAAAATTGAGGTAGTCTCTAGGTTCTCCGATCAAATCCTACAGTGTGCGCCGTTTTGCAAACACTATCTTCCAGATCATCGAAAGTGGCTGTTTGTGTTTCACTTAGGCCAAAACATCCCCCCTAGACTCTCTCCCCCCCCCAAAAAAAAAAAAAAAAAAAAAAAAAAAAACACTATCTTGTTCAACTTTCCTAACGGACTAACCTGGGTTCATCGACCTGGTCAAATTGAAACTTCTGATCTATTTTCAGGCGAAACTTTTGATTGGCCAGACCTGTTGAAACTTGGCAACTCATCAGCTGATCTTCCAAGTAAAAACTTTGTACGTACTTACTATAATAGTAACCTGTTAGTAAGTTCAGCTTTCAGAAAATGGTATGAAAAACTATTAATAAAATTACCTATTCCAATTTTATACGCTTTATGGTTGAATCATCGTATGATTTAATTATTGTTGAGCATAGTTCAACAAAATGGTGACCCCGACGTGATCAAGTGTGACAATCAAAAAATTGTGAAAGAAGATCATACGGCTTGCAGTGGATTTCCTCCTTGCCTTTATGATTTCATAATTTCACACATATGGTAAAAAAAAGTCCGCCTTTCAGTGGATTTCCTCCTTGCCTTTATGATATCATAATTTCACACATATGGTAAAAAAAAGTCCGCCTTTCAGTGGAAATCCTCCTTGCCTGTAGAATCTAAATTATTGGTGTATGGACTAAGACTTGCAGTGGATTTCCTCCTTGTCTCTATAAAGGTCTATAGCCCTGGATTGACGATCAAATTCCCGAACCAATTCCGATCAAAGTAGCATCAAAGTGTCGGGAGTCATTATTATACAGGGTTATCCAAAAGTCACCTACCACCCCTGTAACTTTTTTCCTAATTGAGGTAGAAGTTTGAAACTTTGGGAATGTTCCTCGGTTTAAGGTAGCAACTTTTTGGTCCCCCCAAATTTTGGGGGGCGGCCCCCCCTATGCCTAACGGTAGCGCTCCTGACTCTTTTCAGAAGTGCCTGCAAGTTCCTGCGAACGAGAGGAATCACAGTGACCCTGAACCTTGCATTGTGGCTACAAGATCACAGCCAACGGATATAAGTCCCCTGCCAATTGATTAAATACCCTGAGGATTAAAATAAAGTCAATACAAAAACTCCAGAAAGTTAGTGGATTTACATGTTGCTAAAATATTTTAAAAAACAAAACAAAAAAAAATTCAACAAGTACAATTTTGTTGAGCAAGACCAACTTTAATTGTTTTTGGTTCCAGTTTTTTTTTCTTCTTTTTTCCTTTTTTTGTGTAAAACTGTAAGGAAAGTGGAGAAGAGAACAGGCTAACTGTAGAGCTTTTGTAACCATGGAAAAGACGCAGATACATTACACAATCTTAGCAGAATTAAACTACTGTTTTCAATGAGAAACTAGTATTTCCGGCTCAAGTCATGAGCAACGTATGTGCCATTAGTTTCTCTAAGCAGATAGGTATTTTAATAGGAGCCAGAAATAGTAGTTCCTTGTTGCAAAATGTAGTCCAATTAACATGGGTTGTACTTGAAAGGTAAGTTCACGGAATTAAGTTAAAAAGCCCCACTAAGGAATGAAAGAAAAAGTATAAATAGTAGCGCGATGAGATGAGAGAGTGGTTTTCGGCAAAGAAAAAAAACAAAGAGAGGAACATCTAAAGTTTCTTCAACTCTCTCTCTCTCTCTTGGCCCCGCTCTCTTTCTATTTTAAGCAGGTCTTATGAGACCTAAAATATCAGTGCGATCAGTAACACAAGACATTTGGAATCATGACAAATTTTTTATTATGCATTTTATAACTATGGTAAATATTAACGAAGAAAAGTTGTTATCTATAACAAACATGATTGAAAATTATTTTAACATCTGATTTAAAATCCTTCTCTCAGAAAAAACTGAGATCTTACTGACAGCTGTGCTGAAGGAAACGATAACTTTGACTGCTATCATTATAATCCCATTTTGAATCTGAAAATTAACACAAACATTTAAAAATACACCTGAGCCGAGTACAGAAAAGTTTTTGATTGTTAGCACTAGAGGCAATTTTTTAATTAGAATTTTATCATGGTGTTAGATTCTAACTGAGCCCCTTACCCCTCATCGTCAGGTACATTTTAAAGGTTTCCAAACTTCGCTCCCCCTGGATATCTTCCGTCATTTGAATAAGGAATTCAAAAAAGAGCTCAAGCGTCACTTTTTGAAAAATTGAGTCATTGGTACGTATGAACCTAGGGGGACTCTGCAGGTAGTCGAGTAGGGACAAGTACCTGGTATATTTTAAATCTTCACTCCAAATTGAGCCATCCTTTGTGAAAACAATGTTGAAGCTTTGTTGTGGTGCCTTTTGCAATTTGGTGCATCATTTGCAGAAGACTAATTAAAGCTGGGCCACCATTTTGCCTCCATAAACCGTTTATATTTTGACTAACTTTTCTCTAAAATAATTTATAAGTTTATGTGGGTTTAGCTTGTGACGAATTACGAAAACCGTTGCACAATCTGAGCGGATCTGCAAAGCTTATACGTTGTTTCTATGCAGACTGACTCAATTTTAAGGGGTAAAAAAGCATTCGAACTTCTAGTTGATTTTGAAAAGAGCACATTAGTTTTCAAAAATGCAAGAATTAGAAATTGCTCGTTCTCATCGGACCACTTACCGAAAATGAGCAACACCAGTATTAACTTGTGCTATTGTAGATGGAGAACTGTTCAAAAACACTGTGTAATGCTAGTTCAGCAGTCTGCAGTATATGTTGCTTATTTTTAAATCTGAGCACTGACAGAAGGTTTTAGCATGTAATGCATGCCTAGCCGCATGTGCCATATGCTACTAAAAATAATTAAAAAATAAGTTATGAGTAATAAGTAGTTTTTTTCCATATCATCAACAAAACTCCCAAACCACGTTTTTCCTTTTACGACAATGCAGAAATCTTGCTATAGGTACTTTTTTTTTTTTTAATTAGAAACTGCTCAAAGTCAATTTTTTAAAACTTCCAGGATTTTTCTTTTCTGTGAGAGGGAAGTTCTGTGAACACCTGAAGGAATGATGTTGATTTGCTTTTCTTTGAATTAATAAAATGGGAGCGTAGACTTATAAAGACAGCAAAGAAGATACGCTGGAAACAAGTTTCACCATGGATATGCACCTACAGGCACTCACACAGATGACTGGACTTGCGTTCATTTTTAAAAACAAGAGGAGTAACTCATCCACAGAAAATGTATTTGCATACTAGGATACTCACAGCATCCTGAGAAGGCTGATCATCTCTTGATTCAATGAGTAGAGTATATTAGTAGAAACGAACTCCTTGGCACCATCACTGGATATTGGGATACCATGTGTTTAATGCTAATGGAGCTGAAAATATTTACACCTGAATGTTATTACACTTAAAAAAGTTATGATAAAGCTCAAAATTAAATGAGTTATTGGTCATTCTGAGCATCACTCTACTTAAGTATGGTTTACATACCTACCTAGTATAGTTTCAGGTTTAGGTAATATGTCCCATTTGTTAAAAACCCCTCCATGTAAATGGGCATATAATTTGATTCGCTTATTTATTAAAATGGGCTCCGGCCAAAATAAAAAAAATACCCTAACACGGTGGGTAATAATTCATTTACTAGCTAATCATTTTACTTATTGTGCATCACTAGCCCCCCAGCCCCATCTGCCCCCTCACCGCTCCGCAGCCCCACCGCCCACCCCTGGAGATTTGCGTCACAGCATACTTGATGAGGATTATCGGGAAAGCTCTAAGAAATACAATACAAAAGATTTTGCAATTTCAGGAGATAAGTGATTGAAGTTACGAAATTACATGGATCCTTATGATGGAAACTTATGAGTCAGTTCAAACTGACTTTTTCAGGCTTAAATTGGAATGTGGGAGCAAATTCTTCACAGAACAGGCATTAAGACTAGTGTCACTTAAAATCATCAATATTTCAATTTTATCAATAATTGTACATTAGGCCTCTTGTCTTCCGAGTCCCCCATATCTCTTAGTACATACTCCACAAATGAGGAGGAAATGAACGAAGAGGAATGAAATTATCAAAATGATGATACCAATTTCAGACATCAATCAAAAATTCTTCCAACTACCCAAGTAGCATTGTCATCTACATTCTAGGTGGCGCTCATCAAGAAAATGTCTACTTTCTAGATAGAACAATTTTCTTGAAAGAAAATCGGTATGAAGTAGGTCTAGAAAATAGACACAAGAAAATAGAAAGAAAATACATTTTTTCCTTGCATTTTCTTAAAAGAAAAGATTAAGAAATTGGCTAGAAAATAATTCTACTTTCAATAAATTTTCTATCTTTTTCCCAAATGGAAAGTTGACAGAAAGTAGACCTATGAAATAGATCTATTTTCTTTGGTCAGACTTCTGACTCACAATGTTTATTCTTTCTATTTTCTAGATACTCTCATTTTCTTGGTATTTTCTAGAAGTTTTCTTAATATTTTTTTTCTAGGAAAAACTTCTATTTTGCTACTTGGGTATCACATAATGATATCTTGCATACTCATCAAAATCATTTTTCGAAGATAAGCTCGCACACATAATAACTAATGACAAATTCGAACTTATTTTCATCCTTGCTTTAGGACACGCAGGGGTGCAGAAAGTTCTTCGCCCGCACATGTTTGGAAAAAGGCCTTCGCATTTATAGAGGTTGCCTTCACATTGCTGTCCACATATGACTTGCCCACTTCACTGTTGCCTTTGCATAAAGACTTGACAATTTTTTTTTGCATAGGAGAGTACGTTACACAGTTTCCTTCACAAAAAACTGCACACTTAAAGGTTTTAAAGCCTTCTGCCTTCACATTTTCCCCTCATCTGGGTGCCTTCACATCTTTTTGCATGTACTCTAACTTTATCTGGTGATTCATCGGTATTCTCTGGTGATTAGGAAAAGATTTCCAAACTGAATCCTGAGAAGTGTACGACACACTCAAGGGTCACCCTACTCTTCAATAAAGTCCAAATCCTCCATTATCTTTGCCATGCGATTTTTGACGGGAAGTGACCAATCTGTGATCTCTCATCTGATGGTGGCTGACCGACTGTCTGCAACATTGAGTTGGGCAAGTCAAAATTGAACAGACAAGAAAGAGTTAGATAAAGAATCAAGTATGTAAGGACCTCTACAGACAATGAATGAACATAAAAAGGAAATGGAATGTGATTGGCAGGTGCAGAAGTGGTATGGGTGCTCAGTTCGGAGAAGAGAAAGGATTCAGTGATGAGGGCCTGGCAAAATTCATGGCAACTGGTATTTAAACAACAGGACAAAGTAAAAACATGATGCCTGTTAGGTGTAACTGCGGATTGAGAGAAACATGCTATTCCATGTCATGATTTACAACCTAAAAAAGAAGTAAATGGAAAATTTACAGTACCTAGTCTTATCAAGCCAACAAGGATACAAAAAGCTGTGACACTAGTCTTTATTTCCTCGTTAACTTTCTTGCGATCTTCTTCCGGATCGCAGTTTTGAATCCTCAACATAATGATCAGATCCGTTCAGATTTTCTTCAGGAATGCTTCTAGATAAAGCCGGGATCACACGACAGCCGATTTCGTGAAAATGACTCATCGTTTCCGCTGATGATTGTTGATTACTGAAAATAGCGCGCAGTGTTGCCATTGTCCGCGTAATTACGCGGATTCGCGTAATTTATGTATCTGCCGCGTAGTGCATGCGTAATCGGAAAATTCTGCGTAATTTGCGTAATCGGAAAATTCCGCGTAATTTCACATATTGAGACAAATTTTCCACGTAATTCTGGAATTTATGCGTAATAGTTAGGATTTTTTCAATATTCGTTATTTCCGCCTCCCAGCTTTTGGTTTTTGTAGTTCAGTTGGTACAACTGGAAGGAGATTACCAAATTTTGAAATTCGCGGTGAAAGATCATTGAAGCCAACAAGAGTCTGTTTGTTCAGTTATGCCCCCAAAATACGTTGAATGACGGTCAAACAAAGTTTTGAAGGTATTTTAAAAGCCGTGGCATCCGTTTCTTACGCTTATTTACAAGGGAAAGTTATGCCGCGTAATTCCGCGTAATCACGAAAAAAAATCGCGTAGTAGAGGCCGAAATCGCGTAATTTTGAGGGCGTGTCCGCGTAATTTTGAAAAATCCGAGTGGCAACACTGATAGCGCGGCCCGCGCTATTTTCACGATGATCGATGAGGTCGGGAAGGAACAGCAGAATCGTCCAAGCAAGTAAAGTGAACGTAAGAATATCATCCATTACTTATTTGTAATTTGAATTAACAACTTACATATTAAAAAAAGCTAAAAATAAGCGCGACGAAATTCATTACAATAAAAAAATGTTTTGTTTGTTTACACTTTTTCCCCCGCTTTCCGCCATTTTCACGTCATTTTCGCAGTCTGACGTGTGAACACCACTGAATCTAGATTCTGGCATCAACACTCAGCAAAAGCACCGATGTGCCATTTTCAGCTCAATTTCGCCTCCGTGTGATCCCGGCTTAAAGCCCTTTCCACACGTTGCAAGTTTTGCTGCAAGTGAGCCGAAAGTGGGAGTCATCACTCATCGATGATCGTGAAATTTGCGTCCCGCCCGCAAATTTCACGATCATCGATGAGTGATGACTCCCACTTTCGGCTCACTTGCAGCAGAACTTGCAACGTGTGGAAAGGGCTTTAGGTTAATCTTCAGCTGTAGTTCCGAAAAAATCCACCACGTCGCGCTGCTAAAATCCGACTCCGAAATCAGTGATTATTTAAATATGAAGACACAGATTCTAAATTCTGAAGCTCCTAAGTTCTAGCAGCATGTCTGAAGAATGTGTAAAGTCAAAGATGAGCTTTCAAAGTTGCATATTAAAGGCTGGAATTTGATCCCCGTTTTCCTTATGGGACTCCAATGAGTACGAGAGAGATAGCTCATGGTGGGAGAGAGATATCTGCAACTGCAGAGAGCGATCAATCGCGATTGGTTGCATCAAGGTCATCATGCTTAACCCTACTTTTTTCTGGGATCAAATTCCAGAGCTTCAGAAATTACTTTTCTCATTTGTTTTAGTGCCTATAGAAAGAGGAATGTTATAGCTAGAACTTATAATACTTCGATTCTAATAGAAATTCCTTTAACTTTCATAAAAGCTCAAGGACTCACGTGGAGCGGTACGGACTCTAAAATCGTGGACCAAAAAATCAAAACACAGCGGTGGCGCCCCCTGCGCGGAGAAATTTCTTACTTCACGCAGCTGTAGATACACCTTAAGATAGATTCAGATTTTCTTCGACCTAGTGGTCTTTAGGCCTTGTCTCCACGGGACGTTTTCATGGGATTTTTCCCAAGTTCGAATCGCAGGAATGGAACTCCTGGGATTTTTCCCAGTTACCGTCTCCACGGGACAGGACAGGGCTCATCCAGCCCTGCGACTAGTTTGCGCGGGGAAGATAAATTACTTAAAGTCAAGTATTTAACCGGGATTAAAATAATAATTGCTCTCAATTGACAATTTGACACATTATTTTAACGAAACAAACATGAACAATGGAGTAATCAACAAAATATCGCACAATTCGTTTTCACTTCTTCTTCTTCTCTCAGTGGGTCCTAGGGGTACAAGTACCATACCTGGTACTGGGAAAAATATTGATTAATTCAATATTTTTCCCAACTTCGTAAGTGGGATTTTTCCCTGGGAAAAATCTCGCGAAACGGCTCGTGGAGACAAGGCCTTAGACGTCTAACAATTAGACGCTAACACTTTAGACGTTAACCTTTTAGACTTGAAAAGGTTAGACCGTAAATTTTTAGACGTTAACTAATTAGACCCAAACGGTACCCCCCTTATTATCAAGGTACACTCTACTACAGGTATGGACACGCGTTTTGACGACTTTCTAAAATTCCATTCTGTCCATACCTGTAGTAGAGTGTACCTTGCTTATTATCACTTATCAGCGAAACATGGCGAAACAATCTATAATATCTGTTTTCTTCAATTTTAAGTGTTTGGGGCTTCATTTCAGTAGCGAAATTGCTGGCAATTCAGTCCTTTGAGTTTTTCGATTATTCTGTAGGATTTGTTTTGAGTCTTGTCCTTCCATCTGTTAAAGTTTACCCAAGTGAAGTTGCTATCCTAGAGTGTTTTGCTTTCTTGATGTTACTTGTAACTGCTCTCTGTGTCATTTGGACACCTTATATTTATTTTCACATGATACCTTTCTGCTTA